GGAGGCGAAAGTAGACGTTAAAACTTGTTGGTTTCTATGCGGCACTGGAGGGACTGAAGGATAAGATTTTCTGAGACAAGTCAAAGGGTATTTCTTTTCAGACGCGAAGAAGAGGTATTGTTTCCGTGACAGAGTGGCAGAACTGATTTTGGTTGCTCGATGGAACTCCAGAAAACCGAGTTGTTCGAAAGTTGCTGGCCGACTTGTTGTGACTGAGACAGTACCTTGAGGTAATAGCCCAGGCCTTATCATTACACGGGAATACCTGGCATACAATTAACTGTGCATTTTTGACCTTGAATGTTCCCGTACAAACGGAAAACGGAGAAAGTGACGTCCTAATCAAAACCGCATTTGTTCGAACATAACCCCTAAGGCATCCTTCATGTTCATCATGTAAAAATCTGCCATCTTCTAAGCAACGAGAGATTAAGCAACGATAGACTTCCACCACCTCACCACTAGGACCTTAACTCTGTTTCTTAGTCGCTCCACATAAGGAAAGAGGCAATAAGCCAGGATCGCTATTAAAAGAGATATTGCCGATACCAGTCCCCACAACCAGATCGACAATTTTTTGTCATCAAGCTCTTTGAAGTTCATGCCAAATAAGCTTGTAGCAAAAGAAAGCGGCACGAAAAGAAACGCCAAGGACGTAAGTCTCGCCATGTCCTCCGCCTGCTGGATTGCCTTCTGCGACTCGAAGATGGAAATGCTTGACATCAGGACAGCAATAGCCTCCGTAGTGCGGCTATGGAGCGTTTGTGCCCGCTTTAGCAGATGCTCAAAGTCGCGCTCAATGTTCTGCGCCGTGACCCTGGCCTTCTCGGTCTGGTCTATCGGGCGGGGCCAGCGGGATTCCTTGTTGGTGGCGTTGCGGATGCTTTCGAGCACCCTCTCTGTCTTCTGGATGTAGCGGTACAGAATCTTCTTGCTGTATTTTAGATTGGGGAGGACCTCAAAGTCCTTCTCAGGTGGCAGGGAGGTGTACAGGTCGAGCTTGAGGTCGATAAGATTGAGAAATTCCATCTGAGAGGAAGAAGCAAAGTTGAAGATTTCTGTGAGACAGTAGAAGGCGTCTTGGGACATAATTGCCGCGTGAAGGGAGCGACCATAGTCGTTCGGGAGGTGTGCCGCAGAACGTGCGGATGGGCTCAAGATTCCTTGGCTGAGGAGATGTGCCTTAAGGGCGATTTTGTGCTTATGGAGAATGACGGGAAGGTAGCGGTTATCAGAGCTGGGTTGCTTGATTACCCATGGATACGTTTGAGTCTTTTGATGGAAGCCGGGGAATGACGAGCGGAGCGAAGGCGAGCTAAGGGAGCTAGGAGATGATGAACTTGGGGAAGTCGAGTCCCCGGAATCGTGAAGTCTTTCAGTTGAGTCAAGCCAGACTAGCACTGCGGGAGTCAGAGTGAGTTTAATTTCGCCTAGCTACAGCCGCGTCTCGCATAAACTTGGGTATCGGGCATATTATCTTACGTTGGAAACTCCTCTCATCTTTGGATTTTTCCATGCAGATTGAGATACGTTGCTCCACAGCAAAGTGTGTGTCGTCAAACACATAGAAGTCTCGAATCAGTGACTCGCCATCGGCCATGTCACTTATAGCCAAGCGATGCCTGTGTGTGTCGAGCGCGGCTTCAGCCTCTCTTCTTGTGATTTCGATTGTCTTCCCATAGAATCCTTTGTTGGTCTTGTCAATGCCTATCGTCATGACAGGGAGCTCTATTAGAAATGATGAACACGACGGCAGTGCTGGTATTGAGAAGTTCTTTGGGGTTTCATCAGGACTGCGAAAGTCCAGATGACGACAGAAAAATTCGGGATCGATGATGTACCGAGCGCCCACGTGGTTGATCCAGGCCCCTGGCAGGTAACCGCAGAGGAAGACTACGCTGCTCTGGGCTCCGTTGAAACCTTCGCCGGTGCCCCTCGAAAAGAACTCGGCTGGAGTGTTGAAGGGGATAGACGGTTTAACCTCATGGCGATTGCGTCTTTCGTCTGCAGAGGTTCTCTCAGTAGCTGGAGTTGGTTCTCCAGGCCCTAGGGGCTGTATACTGGTGGTCGACAAGTTTCGGGTCGGGTTATGCTGAGGGGAAGACGGATCGTCGTTGCAGCCGAGGAGATATTGTACAACCAAAGGAGCTGGGTTAGGAGACCTGTCTCCTGGTGGGTTGGGGGAGACATGAGTCGACGCGGTTTCGTCTGATTTAAGGAACCTTGCCAGCCATATATAATTATCACCAATGCAGTTCGGCAGATGTGCGTACTCCCGCACAGCCGACGCGTAATGGGCTGGTTTCACTAAATAAACGCCGGATAATAGTCAGCTTCCATATTGTTTGATCCAGGATCCTGGGCTATCGCCCGCCTTTAACTCAAGGCGTAGCCGTAACAATCATCATGGATTGCTTACGTTCGCTTCGTTCATCAACCGTCCTTGTAGCCGACGTCCCTCGTGACGGAGTAATGAGGCCAGGTGCTAAGGTTGCACGGCCCCTCGTGGGTCGCTGGATTGAAAGCGATCGTTGGGGAGGTATTGATGCTAATGGGATGCTGGGATCGTTGCCTGACATTCTGCTGATGGAGATTGGAAGGCTCGCGATACAAGTGGTGATGTCTTCAAACCGATGATGGATTAACAACAAGAGTGATTTAAAACAGGAAAGGGGAACTCATCTCTGTTTCATACCCGAGAATTGCGAGTCCGGTAGTACTTGCCTCGAGTGCGCGGGTGTAACATTCAGCCGGACAGAGGGCAAATGTGTTCAGAGCCTGACCGCAAGATGTACATATCTCCCCGTCAACTTTCAAGTGACAGGCCACATTTGTACAACACTGAGACGGATTAATGAATATAGTAACTGGGCAAAAGTATTTCAGGGCTTCACCAAGCCCATTAGTTTCCGCGATCCTCTTGGCGCTCATCAGGCTTATGCTCTTTTCGGAGAAAACGACGCTCATGCATCGCACTGGCAGGCTGACATAGAGATTGAGCGCCAGATATCCGCCCACGTCAGTTGAGCTGAATGCTGGAACCCCTCTTTGGGCAGGACACTTGTCCACGCTTACCTATCCCTTTACGCAATCGGGAGGGTGAAGTGCGTAAGCGCCGCGAAAACCTGCCTGTAGGTCTAGAACTCGATGTGCCTGTACCTACGATAGGCAGCCCAGCTGGAATGACCAGCCGACGAGCCCAGAGACCCGATGCAGTGCAGGCACACCTATTGCGGCGACAGGTCACTCCGTGCTGAGGCCCGAATGCTTTTCTCTTCACGGGCCAGATGACGGCTACTTTCTATCATCGACAGCGCGGGCATTCAGGCCAGGAGTTTTACATACCAAACACAGCAAAAGACTGCTGCTCTTATTGGGTCCCGAACGGTACACGCCATGACTAGAACTCCAGTCTGAATATGCATGCAGTCCTCAGGCTCTGGGCGGGTAGGTTTAACGAGCCAAGCAGAGCGGTCGGAAACTCTCATCGAGCCGTCTGCGAGACCCACGGCTGGTAAGTGAACCGAGGGTCCCGTGCCACATGTAGTCTCAAAATACCAGACTACTTCGGGTCTTCGGAAGCCCACCACAATTCGACAATTGCTGCGGTGACTACCTTAATTTGGTACCAGGTGTGTTACGCGAAAGTTACGACCGGATTTCGCAGAATATTAGATCGTTCTAATAAGCATTTCACCATCCGAGACGCTTGAGATGAAAGCTACAACTAAAACCTTTTCTCCATGGATACCTTGGACTAGCGAGACCAGTATGGCACGAGGAGGTCGAAATCAGCCTCCCTTACATCCTCTCTTGGCCGCTGGTCCCCTGGGACAAGATGTCTCCTCAACTGGTATGCTTCCTCCAGAAGGGCGTTTGCCTCTTCTTCTTTTTTCATCAACTTTAACAGTTCCCCTTTTTTATACGTCGTTCTCGCTCGTTCATTTTTGAGATACGTACGAGAGTTGAAGATAATCAACGCAAGGTTCAGGGATGTCCTAAATGAATCAACTAGTCAATGGGAGGTCGTCGACGAGGGGAATTGGGTGGTTCAGCTGTATCTATCTGCAAAGTGCTGACGAGAACAATCGTGGAGCTTACTCACTCTGCTTCGGTATAGATGCCTTTGTGAATGTAATAGAACGCCAGGCGATGATATGTGTCGCCGACTCTGTTGATGGTTGGTGCCGACGGCGTTTTGTACTGCTTGAGGCATCGAAGATGGTAGCTGAAGCTTTCGTCAAACCTGCCCTGTGCCCATAAGACATTGCCAATTGCGTAGAGAATCTTTCCTGTTCTGTAAGAAGTAAGGATGTCAGTGACAAAATTCGATATTCGAGTATCTTCACAAGGACAAGACCAATTCTTACTTGAAAGACACTGTGTCATCGACCCCCCAAGCTGCAGTGTGGATGCCTTGAATCTCGACCAAGGTACTCTCGGCCTCTTGAAGCTTTCCCTGCATCCAGTAGATGAACCCAAGATTTGGTTGCGGCCACCCCAGCATGGTGTTCTTGTAGTCCGCAAGACCCTTGAAGATCTCCGTGGAACGCTGGAACGCCTTTACGGCCTCCTCAAGCTGGTTAGCGTTGCCGTACGCGACGCCAATCTCGTTGTATGCATAACCGAGTTCATAGTTTGCAATGTCCTGACCAGCTTCGGTCTTTCTTTCCTCCAGCATGTTCAGCCATTTCTTCTTGTGGAACAAACTCCGATCATGCTCATTCAGCTCGGTGAGGACAATACCCAGGCACATATGACTTTCACGAATGGACTCTGCTACTGCTGCAGCGCCGAGTTTGGCTTCTAGTCGCGCTGCAATCTCGAGCGCAAATTGGCAAAATGGTTCGGTCTCCTCCATCATTCCACGCTCAAACCGATACCACCCTGTATCGTTGAAAAGTTGCGCCAGTCGAATATCCAGGGGAAAACCAGGATATTCTTTGACTTGAAGTTCGATCCTATTCTTTAGACGGAGCACACTGGGGAATAAGGCCTCGCATTTTCCAAATCTTTCTACCGAGTGGTGATTGATCATCGACTGGAACGGCCATGCTTCGAGAACCAGATTACTCGCCGCTTCGAACGCGGAGATTAACTCATCTGGTTTCATGGTTCTCCTTGTTGCGTCCTGAACCAACCGATGCAACCGAAGTTTGTACGTTTCGGTATGCTGGTTCATCAATGAAGAGGCAAGGAGTTCGGCCTTCGCATTGTGGTATTCTCCACGGGAAGTGGGATAGCCCTCGAGTTTGACGACCTTCTTTCTGTCAATCAGCAGATCTTCGGGGATGTCATCTGGGTCCAAAAGCGATATAACACGCAGGAGCGCCATCGATTCTTTCGGAAGTGTGTCCAGAGCCCAGTACGTTGCAAGCGATTGTCCTTTCTGCTGGTCTTTGGAAGATTCAGCTTGCCATTGGAAGAGTGCATGGATGCCTTCCTCATTGAACAAATCCAAGAACCCACTATACGATACAAGCCGCAAGCGTCGGAAGACACCGGACATTTGACTGATAGCCATAGGAAATCCGTCAAGCTTCTGTGCCATGGTGGAAAGGGCTTCCGACTCCCTCGGAGACGCTGTGTTGGCTTTGACATTCGTCAAGCGCTGCAGCAAAGCCTCTGTTTCGTTCTTGGAGAATGGGGCTAAGTCGATACCAGCTGGGCTTTCCACGTACCAGCTGTGCTTTGCGAGGGGGTCGCGGCTTGTGACAAGGACCGAGCCCCGTCCGAACTTGGGCCAAAACTCGGAAATGACATGAATGTCGTCGACGTTGTCAAAGATGATTAACCAAGTGGCGAGATTGGCTGGCGTTTCCGGCCCTGGCATCTTTTTCAGAGGTCGAGCCAGCCAATCCATGACAACCTCTCTGCTGGCTGCCAAGTCTGACTCGTCGTTCTCATCTTCCAACCCGAGCTTCTTTGCGATTTGGGCAAAATTAGAGGCTAGAATACTTGCTTCGTCAGCACTAAGCCAAAAGATCGCTTGGAATTTGTCTTTCCGTGAGTATGCGTATTCCACCGCTAGCTCAGTCTTGCCCATTCCACCCATACCACAGATGGCAAAAGAGCGGGGCTGAACCGGGTCAGCTGCCTGATCTTCCTGGTAGCCGAAGAGCAGAACATCGTCAATCATGGTGAAGATGTCCTGTCGCCCAAAAAATTGGTCGTTTCTTTGGTGGTTTCCCAGCCAGAAGCATGGCAGCTTCGGGTCTCGGCATGGTACGGCCTCATAGTCTAGGGCTTTTGGAAAGGCGACAAGATCGATCGAACCGACTGTTGATCCATTGGTCGCCATGCCAGTTGGGAACTCTTGCAAACTTTCATCTTGAACACCTCCACTGCGAAGTGTTTCGGCCCTCAACGCGGGCGCATCGGCTAAACCAGTGTTGGTAATTTGTTTTGCCGTGAAGATGACCATACATCTTGGGGCCTTCAATGTACTTACTTGGCTTTGTTTCCTTTGCAATTCTTTCGGGAGCCTCTCGCATGATCTCTCGCAGAAGTGTGAGGCACTCTTTGTAAAGATCACTCCCGGCGCGAACTTTACACACATCCGTGTGATTTGATCTGCTATCTATTTCGACCTCTTTCGCAGACCTCAACCTGAGTGTCCCCCATGTTCTGGGCACAATCTACTCGGAAAGGTCAGTAGATTGTTGGCAAGAAAAAAAGGACATAGAAGTTGCATGTAATGTTACCGAATGGTGCAATAAAGAAAGATGTTCTCAAAATTTTATTTTTTTTAAAAAATTGGGTTATGACTTACTACTTGGTTGGAAACCTTGCTGAAGATTCTGCGGAAGAAGCTTCTAGGTGGTGCCGTACTCTTGGTCTCATATGCGGAGATAACCGGTATCTTGAGACCGATACGCTCAAAGCCTTCGCATATTTGAGTCAAATACTTAGCACCAGCGTCGTCAGCATGTTGCCTCGTCGAGCCCATCTCTTTACATTTCAATAGAAGGTCTATTGTTTTCTTGGCCGCTTCACGATCTTTGATTATGTGAGGAACCCCAAGAAACACAGCACCTGAGAGAACGTCAATAACAGGACGGTACTCATGTGGCTGTTCGGAGCAACAAATGTTGAGCGCCTGACCGGAAAAGGTCAGTATTGGAAAACGATGAGTTTCAAACTGAGCGTCTGGTATGGTATGACACGAAGACCTACCCGCTTTACCACAAGCCCTCCAGTCCCATGGCATATGAGAACCAAAGGGCGCTTGTTCAGTCCCATCTCAGTCTCTACACAGTGAATCCGGAGTGACCTCAAGAATTCAGTCCCTTCTCGAGTAAGATGCTCCGCGAGGGAGGATTCGGTACCGTCATCATAATGATGCTCAAAGATAGTTGCCCCTGGGGTGAAGTCTTGAGCGAAGTCATTAACGAGACTTTGAAGCCAGGTGCTAGATATATCTGCAGAGCCATGGGCCCACTCCTTGGTCACTATCCCAGGAGCAGGTACGATCACAATGCTGCAGAAAGCTCCTGTCAGTTTGTGACGTTTGAAGATGTTCGCGAGACGCTTACTCCAGACTTGAAGGAGGTGTTCCGACCCCTGGCGGATTGGGAGGTAAGATCCTATGGAGGGATCTTGGTGGACGTGGGGGAGCCATTCGGATTGGAGAGCAACCGCGGAAACAGACGTGGGAAGTTCTAGTATCACTGACACCTGCGACAGGTGAAAGGTAAAGGGCATCTGCACATCAAGGTACATCCGAAGCTGACTGGTTCAAACACAGAAATAGTATGAAGTGCAATGCTTCTCCTGTTGATCAGAGGTTGCAATAATTTGAGTAAAATCCGCCCATCGTGGTGGGTAGGACTTTGCTATAACAGAGGGCGGGGATCGGTGTGGTAGGCATGGAAGGCTGACACTTTGCATGTCTCGGAAATGGTGGTGGCGGGGTAGCTTTGTCTCCGAGCCTGAAAGGTAGAAGGTGGGTGTCTTCATTACATAAGGCTACTGGCCTGGTACTTGTGTTTGAAAGGCGTATGTTGGTCGATAAGTAGACACGAAGTACCGTCAATGTCACCTCATTTTCACTGTTAACTCAGCACATCAGTGTGGCGGCCTTCAGCTAACGAGTGGATGAAATTAGATTTACCACCACAGACACAGGTTGCCTTATATCAATCACTCATCAATCATACGCATGCATGAGACAAATCCCTTCCGAGTTCAATACACCAGAGATATCCTCACATTGAGGTTCAAGTGCCCAATGGCGGCGGGTCGCCGATGCAGGTAGAGGCGGGCGTGCGCAGTTCGGGTGGGTTCTTTGCAGTTCAGGTAGGTTCTTTGCAGTTCAAAAATCATGTCGATATAGCGTGTTTTGAAAAGGTTGGCGAAGATGTCCCTCGGGCCGCGTACTTACACACCACGTTTCAAAGCCTTCCCAATGATGGAGGGTGTGAGCTCCCTGCAGCAAAAAACTGCTTTTTGGGGACAACAAGGCTCTGTGTAGATGCCTTATTCTTGGTGTGCAATGAATTTCGACAGATTGGCTGAGATTCAAGTCCCAGGAAAAGTAGGCAGGGAGTCAGATGATGGATGCTTTGATCTCCGTTTCCGCAGTACTTAAAGCTGCCAGACTTACGAGTCGACACTGGTCCACTGCTCTGGCAACAAAAACCTTCGACACCATAGCTGCAAGATTCCCAACAGCGTCAACGCCCTAAGGAACCATTGTCAACTCAATCAAACCTCACGAGACCACTACTCGTAAGTGATATCTGCATCCGCATGGCGTACTCGTGGAAATCCAATGAGTATATGTTAACTTGCACACAGCTTATATCATGCCCTCCATCACCCCATCATCCGGAAAGGCTCAGCCCTGGAAGGAAGGGTGGATCGCTCGCAACTCTCAGGGTGTCAAGAAGCAACCGCCTAAAGGTACGACCCATGGCACCGACAAGGGTCACCATATCGTCCAGGGAGGCTTCACTAGTGGCGTCGCCATCAAGATGACCCCCGACAAGGCTCAGTGAGAGACTGGATGGTTTCGTAGGATATATGTATGTTGGCATGATGGAGCAAATTCGGGACTGAGGGACAGCTGAGGGGAGAGTGTTGATGTGCACCGTGTTTTGTTAGGCTTTTGAGTAATGGAAATTTGAAAAAGACAATAACGTCAACACCTGATTCCACGCTGGAGACGGTATTCATCTTGACACTCATAAATGCATGATCCAGCCAGCGGGTAAGTACTTCAGCCACGCTTGCCATACAAAGGTCCAACCTCTTGTGGAAGCTGCTCCAACGGCGCCCATAAAATAAAGGCTCTCGACTCAATGCTCTCTCGTGGGGAATTCGAGGTCCCAGCTGTCCGTGGGAGAGGGAAGGCAGCATGGGGAGATGCTAATCGGCGGCAACGGTGTGATAATTGCTCAGCGTGGGACATGGGGTAGATGGAGAGAAAGCGGTAGCAAAAAACGAGACTTACGCCCACTGGCTGTCGTGTCCGAGTCCGTGCATTTAAACAGCATCGTCTCCGTCTCTAGAAGCCCAGGGAAGTAATACCACTGCTGAGATGGGTGATGATGAACCAAAACATTTTCGTAGACCGATTCCGGGTACACAGCGTCGGCACTCTGGGAATCGCGACTCCGCGTGAATGTTTGCGCATCACATACCGCAAGAGGCCAGTCATACAGAGGACCTTTGAGCGGCCGCCAAACGCTGTAACGCAGCTTGTTATGAGGTGTGTTTCCTTGGGCTAGCAGGAAGACGGCTGGAGTTGGCCATGATGTAGGATTTGGGGGGCAACGTACTTGATGATCTGCCAGCGGTGCTTCAACACCTGGCTGGCGTTGCATCCATAGAGTGTCTCCAACATATTGACGGCCTCCTCATGAGAGAAGTCTGACATGCCTGTTAGATACCATGTATAGGACGCCGAGGATGTCGCAGAAACGTTACATACCCAGATGTACAAGGGCGGCTGGCTGCTGGTGCTCGTATTGCCTGCCCGTGGATACTGGAAACTCTGGATGCCGACGTCGCACCTGTGGTTCAATTGTTTTAGAGAATAAAGCCATACAAGCTGAAGAAGGCATTTGAATGAAGGCTCACGGCGTAGTCGATCACCCTGACATGGGGCACGTTGAAGAACGTCTTGAGATGAGATTGCAACTCGGCCGCATATACCCTGTCGATCTTGTCCTGATTGAAGAAGTCATCATAAGTCATGGCCGTGGGAATGGAAGTCAAGGCAAAACCGTGCTGTTCAATCGTCGGACGAAGGGATCGCGCGTCGTTAATGGTGACCGGGACCATATCGGTCTCGATATTCTGGCGAGGCGTTCCATCTTCAGGATCATACCGGAGACTGTAGGGTTTGACGGTGTTGTAGATAGGATTCCGCTTCAGAAACCCTAATTGACTTTCGATATGGCTGGCGGCCATCGTATCACTCAGTCATCAACGTTTCGGTACGTCTGTGGCAACGACGTGGGAAACGGGCAAAGCTGAAGCTGGACTTTCAGTTTTCCCATTCAATGCAGGGAAGTGCGACCAAGGGACGAAAGTACGGTTGAATGGAAGTTGAGAATGAGAAGTGTCACCGTATTGTAGAACTAGGTGTGCAAGTCCATTTCAAGACGCTGCATCCTTATTAATCAGACCTACTTTCTTTTTTGGTCAAGGGGCGACCTGCGGCTCGTCCGTTGTGCGCCCGGGTTCTCGTTTGAATGAGCGAGGGGTGGTCTGAGCGCTGAGATAACTGCATCCTGCCTCACCCGGGCCCGGCACAGAATCCGGCCAAAGCTTCCAGAAATGATGTTTTCGGCCTCGCGGGCGAGCCCAGGTACCTGTACAGCCCTCGTCTACCTCGATTCTCGGGTACCGGCCCAGCCGTTTTGGGTCCAGCAAGCGGCGTTCTAAGGGGGAGGTTTCCGAAGAGTGGTTGTCGCTCGCCCCCCGACGAGCTGTCGTCTCTCCGGCGCTCTTTCTTCTCAAAATGCTTTTGAAGAGCTCGGTTTCAAAAGCTATGGCTGGGGGCGAGACGGCGGTGAACTCTCCAAAGGCCGCCGTCGTGGTCGTGGTTGTAGTTTCGAATGTATCTTCCCGAGTTCGAAATGATAGAAAGTGGTGGGTTAGGCCACCGGTATCTATTGCACCAAAAATAGGGTAATCCTAGCACGCCCACTAACAACCGACTAACAGTAGGTGCCAAGAAAAATATTTTCGGGGGAGAGTTGAATGTACTGTGTAGTCGGGCACTGCGCCAAACACCCAAAAAGTGAAGCTCCATCGAGGTGATGGATTAGTGTCAGATCTGTACCCCCTATATTGACACATTACAGCGTCACTTCGTCGAATTTTTCTGCAAAACACAAAACACGGGTCCAATGTCGATTTCCCGAGTTCAAGAGGCCCGGCACACCCCGGCCGTTTCGGCTTGCAATAATTTGATTATTAGAATGAAACCTGGGAGGCCTGGTCTCTCCTCTTCGCTTGACAAGCATCACTTTTACATGACAAGACAACTCCCTGCACGACAACCACTCATCCATCATGCTATTGCGTAGCACCTCACCTCGCCATGGACATCCGCATCATTTCAATCTATCTCTTCTACCTAGGTAACTCTCTCCGCTACAATGCACATTGAAGGGACTCCTGAGACGATCAGAGAGTCTGCAGATGCGGGTTGGGTGACATCAGCGACGATGGGCGGATATTCGTCCAGGTCGGCGTAATAGACAAAGCACCGGCAATCGAGACTCTGCCTCAGCTCGCTCTTATCCGACTTCGGGTTGAAGAACCCCGAGTGACAGCATCCAGGAACTGCGGCGGAAGGATCACTGTCGCCACTCTTGAAGATGAGCGCCTCCCACGTGTTGTGGTCCGGCAGGTAATACCACTCAGAGGCTGGGTTGGGGTATATCTGCAAGTTCTCCGTGACGAAGTCGTCGAAGACCACATCGCTCGATACCGTATCCTTCTCAAAGTCAAGCGTGCGCCCATCACAGAGGCCAAGGGGCCAGTCGTTAAGGGGCCCTCGGATTGGTTTCCAGATGCTGATATGACCTTGTTAGCTCATGTTGAAGCAGCGGTGGTTTCATGATACAGGTGCTTACTTCACTGCCTGCCAACGACCTTTGAGCACTTCACCGGCACGATCACCAAAGAGTACCTTGGTGATTCGTTCGCCTTCATCTCTGGTAAAGTCTCTGAGAGTGTCAGTCTCCAATGCACGTGGTTCCTGGCAACACGGAAAAAATGATTCACTGACCAATATGTGCTAATGCGGTAGGCTGGTCATATTCGTACTCCTCTCCAGTGGAGATGGGGAAGGACTCGTGTCGTTTTCTAAGCTAATCGTCGCGGTTTGTGTGAGAAACGAGCCCGTCAATGAGATCAATCATAGTGTAGAGGTATAAAGTGTCAGCGACGCACGGCATAGTCCAACACATGGACGTACTTCGCCCCAAGCTCTTTCTTCAAGGCCTCCTTCACCTCCTGGATGTATACGCTCTGGACTCGTTCCTGGTCCCAGAAATCATCAGGTTCCAAGCTGGAGTGAAGCTGGATGAGCTGAAAACCGCATTCGTCAAGACGAAAAGGCCCGGCACCTGGCTCCCGCATGCTCTTCACCTTAACCGGACAACGGATCTTTTGGAAGTTGGATTGAGGAACCCCATCGTCCGGATTGTATCGCATGCTGTAGGGTTTTTCCGTGTCGTACAATGGGCTACGCTCAAGGTACCACATGGTGGACATCACGGTGCTTGCATGGTTGTTTTGTCCGTTATGCGCTTCTGAGACATCTGCACAAGGCTTGCTGATGTTCATATCAGTTGGCGCGAGTGTCTCTGCCATTGTTATGGCCGAAATGGTGTTTTGTTGCTTGGTTGAGATCAAAGACTGTTGCTGATGGAATGGTCTGCGATATTTCACGCTTAAAGACTCTGGCTAGAACTCGAAGAATGTTTTGGTGGGAGAGTTGTTCGAAAGCCAACATCAAGTAGATGCTGGAGCTTTCAAGGCCGTGTCACAACCGAAACTTCCGCTGAATGGTGTACAAAGCAATGCATGCGCTTGTTGAGCATATCTGCGTTCGGTGTCCGGACTGGACCTTGCCAAGGGATGGGGTCGCCATGCTGCTGTTGCGATAATTGCTGAGCCCGACATCACGGAATACCCTACTCGTCTGGGCTAGAAACGCCCTTCAGACCCCATGTGGCCGAGCCAAGGGGTGCGACAGGCGTTTCGAGCCCGCACGAGTAGTGGTTAGAAGTCCGTCTGGGTAGCCTGATGCTCATTTAGCTATGTGCGATTGGCAGAACGCAGTCACCAGGGAGATGTTCGACGGTGCAGAAAAGCCCTCAGATAAGGTAGTGATGTGACTCGAGAGGTATCTCGTGGGTATAGTTCGAGTACAGGCCTGTATGCTCTCTCCCACCTTTTCCTCCTGCCTCACCTGGTAAATGCTAAGCTCGCTGTGGATATTGACTGCACGGGCAGTATTATGTCTCCTACATGAACATCAATCGAGCGAATCGCGTCTTTTGTGGCTTTGCTCATTAGGCACGCTGCATTTCGATGAATTTGGCAATGTGGCATCCTAAACCAACCTTTAGGGCACCAGATTCAGCTTACTGCGTTGAGCGCGGCTTGATGTATGCAATCCTCGGAGGGCTGGGGCTATGGCTGATAGGTGGCCTTGTCCCAAGATTAATAAGTGAAGGCTCACTTGTGAATTTCTGGCTTCACCGGTTTGCGGGGAACACGAGATGCAACTTTTGGTATTAATACTCGTCCGGTCTTAAATTGCCCACCTTCCCCTAGAGAGACGATTCTAGTCCTGACAACCATCGTACAATGCATGTTTCTTTGTTAGTTTAGTTCTTCAGGCTGGGTTTAGCCAGAGCTGTTCCAAGGCTCTTACATTGCCTCTTAAGAGCAAAACTAGCCTTTCTTCGAAACTTTATAGTACAAAACAAAGGGTTTAACACGCTACACATAAATTACAGAAATTCCTTACTCTTATTACCTCTAGAGGTACCGTAGGATTCCGGTATACCCTATGATGCGCTCTCCCGACTCTACATGCAAGCCACAACAAGGGGCTACAGAACGGCTACGTGCCACGCCGCCCTTAGGGGAAGTGGTCGGCTTGGCACGGGTACATGCTGACCACCCGTCCGCTCGAAACCCGAACTCTTTTCCTCTTCCCAGTGGCTCGAGGATAGAAATGGGCGTTAGAAATGGGCGTTTTTTGTACCAGACTAACAAACAAACTAGGGTTAGATTGTATCTTCAGCAACCCTTCATAAAGTCCACTTCACCAATAGGCTTTACTTTTTCTCATTGACATCGTGCCGCACCCACACCCGTGACTGTAGCCGTGGGCTGCGTTTGTTGTAGTCTGAGATAAGAAGGAGAGGATGCATACGTAGGCCAATCCATGGATGACACCTAACCTGCGTCCAAAAGAAACCACCCATGTTTGAGCCGGCTTACCGGCCCCCCAATGCCTACCGAGCATGGGATGTCGAACTGTACTTCAAACAAGGCGCCGGAAGGACACCACCCATTGTCGATGCCTTGCGCCTGGCACCAAGAGAGATAATCCGTCCGACCCATGACACCTGAGTTACCCCAACAGATAAATATCTCCCGCGGGTTAATATCCACAGAAAACTGGCCCAGTGATATTGCCAACGGCATATATGAATCATCCTCAAGTCAGTGCTTCGGAGATGAACGGAGCCACAACACACGTCCCGCGTCTTAGCAAATGAAGGCAGCTCGAGATATTTCGGCTATGGAGGGGCAGTGTAGACGGTACCGACATTTGGAAAGTGTGCATCGCTAGAGCAGCGCCACGAACAACCCGACTTGCGCTGTTAATTTGTCCGCACAATGCCACTGAACGTCTAGTCGAATCGACCCGCATTTGCTAGGTCGAATTGCGCGATCAAGACGGTCCGGAAAATTGTTATTGACCCGTTGATCAATGGCTGGTCAAGCTTTTAGCTCGTCAGGGTCTCCTGTTTGAATGATGAGCACGCCTCTATCACCGGATCTACCTCATGTCACAATGATATTGGGTTAAGCGCCTTTCTGAGGCGGATGGGAAAACCAGCTGCTCATGACTGGTGACAAGTCGTTCGATCCCTATGTCCTATCGTACAATAGTATGTAGCCGCAATTGGGCCAAAGAGGCCTGGCCGCCGGAGATATTCCAAAATTGTCGTTCTTCCGCTGCGACGGGGCCTTGGCTGCTTGAAGATCAACTTCATATGTTCTGAAAGTTTAGGAAGAGACACTTTCCTGGTATGAACAATATCATTGACAATGATGTCTTTGGCTGGAGCGGGCGCGAAGGAAACGAAAAGGTCAAGGTCGGATGGCTGCGAGCGTGCGATATTTGCAGCTGAGAAGGTTCCTAGCGACAGAAGACACGGGAGATCAGGTAGAAAGAGGGGTGCTTTGATTCTGTTCTCTCCGTGTGTGTCCATTTTGCGCCAATCATGTCTGGTACCATTTGGACCAATCGAACGCTCGTGCGACCGGACTTTTCTCAATGATACAATGCCGACTGCCAATAAACCCAGCTTACTGCCACAGCCACTACTTGTAGGTAATTAGAAAAAGGGCACGCTGGAGTACCGCTTGATTTCATTCAAAGCGGATTTATCCCCCACGCAGAGATGGTCAATAAGATCGGCAGAGGGACCTGAATATCGCAGTCTCAACGGGGCAAGCGAGCCTCATCAGGCTAAGGGCTTTGCTGTACTCTTGCACAGTACATAATAATCGATACCGTCATGTCGCCATCCCGTGTGGCATTTCGTGCAGGAGTATTCTCTCTCATTGCATTCACTGCATGCCAAGACGACGTTTCGTGGGACGGATCGCCTAATATGGTACAGCGCTGTCTCACTTTCCCCACCCTAGTCACTACGGGATTGTACATGTAAGAATCTCTCTTGGCGTCCTTGAGATCTCTCAAAAAGTAGACTCTCAAGGACCTGGTCGGGGCGTTCAAGCTTCGTTTTATACAAGCCTTACTTGCCCGTTATTTTCCCTGGGAAGTGGTTTTTGCACATCTGGCAGTATTCTGGGTTCTGAGTGGAATGTGATGATGCAGGCGGGGTTGTAGCTGACCTGCAGCAACCCAACTTCCTGAGGCGCCCGAGTTTCCTGCTACCTGCAGTACCACATGTGACAAAAGAGCAACGCTGTGTGGCTGGACTTGAGATGTCCCTCTGTAGGAAGGTCCCTTGGGGTCGGAATCGGATGCTTTTCGGAACCAGACTCAAGTAGTTACCTCTAAGGTACGTACGTGTTGGTACGATTGAGAGAGATGTGAGAGCAGGAGTAGGTCACTTATGAAATGTGGCCCGAAGAATGGAGGAAGGAATGTTTGTTATTCGTCTTGTGTGCTTGCAGTTTGCTGAGTACAAATGTTGGTAGGAAATTCCGCGGGAAAGAGCTACCGTTACTTGGATTGCAATTGACTGGTAGGAGTGCTAGGGCTTCGTGTGTCTCAAACAGTGCCATGTCGAGAGCAGGGCAGGTCCGCCCGCTGTTTATTCCTTTCCAGGAAATTAAGTGGCCGTATAAGCCCACATACCTACCCATGCACGTTAGCAACCCTCTCAGGAAGTGTCCAACTGTTTTCATGTCTCGGTCGCTCGTCCTAACTGCGTCACGGTCCTCGTGAGTCCCGCTGTGTCGCCAATTGCTTCGCGATGCCGATTTTCCCAACTTCACATTGAGGGCTGCATTGCCGTTTCTGTATCTGCTTAGTTGCCGTCCAAGAACTGTCAGATAACTTCCACCGCACCGGCGAGCGCAGCGGAACCGAATGCATGGTTCTGCAACCACGATAATTCAGCACGACTGGGCTACGACTCCATCCATCGTTTGGGATACGAGAATACTAGATTGGAGATAGTAGGCTTTCTGAAGAAGTAGAAGCGTGATATCGTCTCCTCTTAACCGATCAAGGGTGAGTACCTCCAACTCCTTCATCCGATCACGATGGCCTTGGAACGCAAACTTTCACCAGTTTGAAGTTCGTGCCCTGGGCGTCCATTCGCCCAGCTTCCCATTCACTCGCACTCCTTTCTTGGCTTCCTGGGTGTTTGGCCTGGCTGGGTTTCTATTCTCCTCCTCCTTTCCTGACATGGCCCTACCAGTCTCCAGCAAAATCACTCATAACCGTCGCATGGAGGCCGCCTAACCACACATCTAATCGCCTGTGTACAAACCCATCGATTTCCAATGCAAAAGTTCATTTGCATGTTACCTTGGAAGCAGGGGCGGGGACGGTCTGAAAATTCAGCTGCCGAAAGGGTGGATGACTTTACATCATGCTCAGAATATGGAACGACGTTTAAAGTTGGAGCGGCCTCCTATGTCATTGCCGCTACTCCATGCCGGTCACTTCCTACCAGCAGGTTCGACAAAATCAAGAGAAAACCCACTCGCCGTGGACTCGCTACTGTCTTTGTTGTCCCGGCCTCTGGTAAAGATGTTCGTGCGATAGTAAACCTGAGCTGGCTTGTGCAAGCGTTGGAGGATTACGAAACGGTCGATGATGTCTTCGATCGATCCTTCTTGGCCACCGTTGTCTTCAATGGTGGGGGCAAACGGAAGCCAAAAATCACTCCGGCGGCAAAGCAGTACCTCACCAAACTGGGAACCCGCGATGTGGTGTTATGCTCGGGTGTTGCTGATCTCCCGCCAGGACCGTATTATATAACAGGGCATCAGCTGCGAGATGTTTGGAAACTCGAAGATGACACATATGGCACTAGCATGGTGGCGGTAGCGCCCAAGTCTGAGTGAGTTTATCCCAGAACCTTCGGTTTGAGTATTTGAGGGATGGAGTTGTTGTTGACAGTCAGAGGTATTCTAGGTCATTCGAACCCTTTCAGCCCCTTCCCTGGATTGACTCGAGCCACCAGTTTCCGAGCTTTGCTCTTCCATCCAGGATCAAGACAGGAACCGGCCATGAGCCCCAGTCAAAATCTCTGGCTGGGTGGAGAATACTTGTCAAGGACAATATCAATCTACAAGGAACGAAGACCTCCCAAGGAAACAAGGCATACTATGACACCTATGGCCCTTGTACGAAAAATGCACCATGCATCCAAAAGTTAGTTGACAAGGGGGCGGTAATAGTGGGCAAGACAAAGATGAACTCCTTTGCAAACTGGGAAGAGCCAATTGAGTACGTTGATTATCAAGCCCCCTGGAACCCGCGTGGTGATGGATATCAGTCCATGGGCGGAAGTAGTTCCGGAAGTGCGGCGGCTGTTGCAGCATATGACTGGCTTGATATCGCGATCGGGACGGACAGTAGGTGCTCCATATCCCTTAGTCATGAAAGGGTTGTCCGGGGACCAGAGACGAAAAATGAAACTAATCAGGGAACAACAGCATGGGGTAGCGTCACTAGACCGGCACTGTGGTGCGGTTGCTTCGGCTTGCGTCCCACTCAGGGTGCCGTTTGTGGAGACGGAATCGATCCGTTCTGCAAGTCAGTTACCATGTACGACATGAGATATTTGAGGCGTAGGGCTGACTAGCAGGGATTTAGGGAATGGGATACGGCCGGTCTCCTGGGAAGGGATCTGCAGCGATGCATAGAATTCGCTGCGCAATGGCTAGATGTGGGGAAAATGGAGACGGAACCGAAGGTATAGTCCCAGGCCCTGTCAACAAAGCAGAACATATTCGTATTCTGCCTGACGAACTTGCACTGACTCTTGGCAGCCTTTCACCTCCATTATCTTCGCCAGTGACTTCTGGAGTATCATTGACGCACGACAAGTCAAGACCGCGCGGGAATTCGCCAGTAAAATGGGATCCATCCTGGGTGTCGACTTCGTTGATGTTTCCTTCGAGGCCACCTGGGCTGCGTCGCCCCCGCTAGAGGCCCGTGGTCTTTCACTTACAGAGTTTATCAACGGCGTGAGTGACAAGCAGTTTGTGCTGTGGTTCGTCCTGTGTCCATACCAGACCTTCAGCTGACATCCACCTCCCTCCTCCAGGCAGCAACCGCCCAATGCTACGACGCTTATCATAGCTGCGAGGACTTCCGTGAGAGATACCGAAAGAAATTTGGCCGCACACCATACGTTTCCCCCCGGAACCAGGATATGTGGGAGTTCGCAAAGAAAATCACTCGGGAAGAGCGAGACCTTGGCTTCCGTAAAACGGATGTGTACCGTAAATGGTTCAACAACACCATTTTGAAAGGGAAACACTCCAATGCGCTTGTCATGATGCCGCTGGAATCAATGGGCCCCAGGTATCGGGATGAAGTTCCAACGTGAGTGCCCCATGACCCCTGCCCACGTGCATGCTGAGTTTGGAAGTTTGTCGCTGATTACCCTGAACGGGTGGCAGTTTTCGCCGACCACCTCAGGGCGGAATTAATGCGTTAGGCTTGGCGCCAGTGATGAGGTCTCCGGTTCTGGCTGTTCCTAGTGAGCCCAACCCCAGTTCCCAAAAACACCAATAATACTCGTAAAGAGTGGTGGCACTGACAGTGGCGAACACATTCCAGTTGACGAAATAAGCTACGACTCGCGAGTTTCGAGCCAGGAAGAAAAGCTTCCGTTTGTGGTGGCCTTCATGGCAAGACAAAGTGCGCAAGCCCTTCCCGCCCAGCCCGGAGTAGAGCCTCTGGGTTGGATTTTGTCTGTTTAGATTGCTTTGCACAAAAGAGACTAACCACACTTGCAGGGTATGACTTGGCATTGATGGAAGAAACGCGAAAGGTGCTGGAGAAAACAGGTAAGGCTACCGTTTTGAAGACCGGAAGAAATATGTATAAATGAGCGATCTTGCCTCTAAGAGAGCGGAGTCAAAGTTGGCGAGGTCCTTTAGGTACGGCACTGAGATGGCGTTGACGGATTCGTTCCTTGCATCAATATCTCTGTCTTTTTTTGCATTCGTTATATCATTCTCTGCTTCTTCCCTTTTTTCCATCTTTTCTGTTAATATCTGCTTCTTTATTTTCCTCTGTTGTATTAGTACCTGCTTTTGTTGTTTGGGCGCTTGGTACCTGAAACTCTCTTCGGTGAAGAAAAGCCCTTCTTTTGGGCCATTGCTCGATCAATCATTCGAAGCACTTCTGTAGTCGTGCAGAGTGATCGGTTCCCTTGGCTCCAGAGGATTGCTCACGGTCAGGGCAAACGGACGTTGCGAAGAATCGATTCCATCGCCAATGTCCAGTGCACAGGTGAGGTGACAAATGATGAGTCATGCTACGTGGACTTTGGCAAGGGTGTGTAGGAACAGTGGGCTTTGACGAGCGCGGTTAATAAACACCCGACGATGGGGAGTGAAAAGGGAGGAAGAATTGCATGACTGATTGCCCAGACAATACCGCTTTTTCTGATTCAAATGGGATTTATCTAACCTCCCGCGCCTCCTTCTGGCCTAGGAAATATGGGAAGCACCTGCAGGCAAGGCGGCCAAGTCTGTCATGCAAGCGACACGCAGCCGATCGAAGAATACTTAATGGCTTATACTATGTTGATGCTATGGGAAGGAACGAGAGCTCAAGAGGAGGCGGAAGGTTTGGATATCTACCGTAGAAGACTGGTGGGCAGGCCAGGGCATAAATGGAGCCCGTGGTGAATGGGCAGTGCCAAGGGTACCCAGACAAAAAGCCCCGCGCGCACGCACTATCGTCTTTGTAACGTATGGCCTGGATTTTACCCCTTTCTCCCGCACATAAACTGTTAGACCTACAGCATGGTTTTGTTAGTGCACCTAGCACCTTTCCTAACTGCAACCGTATCGCCATTCACAACTTCATTAACCATCTCTTTGAGAGCATCTACCTTACCTATACTGCATTTCCCTTTACACTATTTGCAACTCCATTGCAGCCGCACAACTTTCCCCTTTTAGCCCAAGATGCGATCCAACCTGAAATCCAACCCCATGTAGCGTTTACTCGCGCGGGAAAGGGGAACCACACCATACCAGGTAGTCGTAACCCCAGAAGCGGCGCAATGGTTAGGCCGCTGTGTACGGTCGGGACGGGATGGGCCGTCTCTGTCGCTCACGGGGGAGTGCTCATATAACCCGACTGTCACGACACGTAGATCTCGAGGGCAGTGCAGACGAATAATCTGACTAATGTAATAAATAAGTAACTATGAGAAGTAAAAGAAGGGAGGGAAAGTGCTGCCTCTGGCTGGCACGGTAAAATATAGAAATGAAGTAGGTCCAGGGACGGAAAGAGTGAACCGTCACGTGAATAAATGCATCTAATCAGAAGGCATGGATTTTAGCCATAATAGTAAAACTTATTTTTTTTTTCCATAGCGAGATTTATTTTTCTTTTTCTATAACGAAACTTATTCTTCTTTCTCTATACAAAATAATACGAAATAAATAGTATTATTGTTAATAAGTAAGATAATAAGAATTTAATTTAATCAAAGTATTAAGTAATTTTCATGATATTTTGTACTGTTTCTGTTAACGTGTAGCTAGTACTGTGTCTTGTAACTACCTTGTACTATCTTGTAGTATAGAAGGCTGATTGAACTATTTCTTTTACAGAATCAGTCTACTCAGCCTCCATAAAACGTACTAGAATACGAAGGTTTTGCCACTGTATTTTGAATTCTCTAACTTGTTCAGCATTGCTTCTAGACTAATTTGTCATTATAGAATGTACCAGAAGCTCATAGATTCAGTTCATTCCTTTCATAGTATAGTGCTCTTACAAGCACTCCTATCAACTTACAAAAGCTCCTACACTCTGGAAGGTTCTAGATACTTAACGTTCGTGTATATAAAGACCGCTTCTCTTCTTTAGTTAGTTACTACTTAAGCAAGTAAGCAAGCACAATCAAAGCAATACAATACAGTCTACTCCTATAGTGCAGAGTTCATTATAATAGTTGTTTCTTACAGTGTAGAGTTCACTATACTCTTCTGTCTTGAGAGCAAAGTTCTCTTTAAGACCTCTTTACAACATTTCCCTATTGTCTTTGCTACTACGCTGCTTTCTTCAGCACTGCTGTCGTACTTCCTACTGCTTCCGCTCCGCTCTGCTACAAGTGTATAGTTCACTGTAGGATCTCTATACTGGTGCTATTATTATAAGCTAGTTAGAGCTTTGCAGTAAACAGTTTCAAATCCTGACTAAAAATTTATTAAAGTAACTTCGTACGAATACGTATTATAATAATTGTATCAAATTTTTGTTTTTGTGGATCGGATCAATTTTGTATGTGAATGTACGGACATTTGCCCATAGTTCTGGGTTAGGGTTGCTGAGGCTTAGCTGTGACGAACGGCAGTCTGATCTGCCTAAGTGGGATAGTTGAAGGTAAAGACTATCAGTGCTGTTCGGTGAAGCTAAAGAGTTCACAACAAGTATGTCTGCAATACTGGTCTCGGTGATAATGATCTATTGACTACTGTCGAACTATCTGACAATCTGAGTTCTCCCGTAGTCCCTTTATACCTGCTCGCCCTCTGCGAGATATTTGTTTCCGGATGCTCTGCTGAGCCCCATAGGTCTATCTAATGAGTGTTGGCTCACTGTGAGCCTTGCTCACTGTGAGCCGCTGCGCCTGTGAGCGCCTGCATGTGCCATTGGATCCCATGTCGTCCCTGATAGGCTGTGTTGTTTGTCCGAGATGGGGCAGCCAGGTCCCAATGGTCTGGTCGTCCTTTGTGTCACTTAAGTTCGTAACATTAGCAGAGTCTCAATGCCTGACATCAGCCTTATGAATGCCCGGCGGCCGTAGGTCGCGAGGTTCAACCTCACTTTGACCAGACCCTCAGCCACCGGCATTGCTTACCTAAGCCCCTCTCGACGCCATCAGGCTAGCGAGTCAGCCATCGAACTGCCGACGACGCTAGTAAGCGAGATGAGGCAATCCCCAGTCATCACAGAAGCGATCACAGCAACCGAGCAAGAAGCAGGGCGACCGAACGAGGAAGGGCGCCAGAAGAAGGAAGTAGAATGGTTGAAGGCACTCAGGAAGATCCACATGTATGAAGATCGCTATATAGATACCCTGAGGCCTCAAGCAACAAGGCTCAGTACGTACCTCAGTACGCACCAAGCCTCTTTGTATAAGAAGGCCTGAGAACTCAGCCCTCGTCTTGAGGGTTGAAAGGATCAACAAGGCCTTCGAGACCAAAGTTAATTATCAGCTGAATTGAACCATTGTTCCATGCCCATACTCTGCCCTTGTCACAGTACGGACCATAGGGTCAGCGAGCTTGTATAATGGGGTCGGGTCGTTTGACCACTCCTCACGGGGGAACGCGAGTTCACGAAACCCAGTGATGCGATGAACCAACGCTGCTGACCGTCCCCTTTGGGGAAATACTACATCCAGGAACCAACGGCATATGACATAGTGTCTCAGCGATTGCTCCGTGATGTTGGTTTGAAATGTTCGTCATGGAATGACATGGATTGCAAGATCACGAATAACATATGGCGAACTGTGTTAACGTGAGGGGTGAATTGAATTGTAGACGGGCTAAATAATTTGTAGACGGGCTAAATGATTTGTAGACGGGCTACATAAGAGCTGATCGTCCACCGCCACCAGAGACATTCAGACACTCACGTCGGACATCATCCATCATAGTCAGTCGAGAAGTATTCCTTTGAACATTCTTCCAGTCCTCCACCTCCCCCATTATCATTATCCCAAACCCCATCTCAGCCTGAAGAACCAAGCTCCAGCAACCGTCATGACCACCTCATCCGAGTCCCAAAATTTCGTCCTCATTACCGGCTGCAGCGAAGACGGCATCAGCTCCGCCATGGAATCTACGCCTGCAAAGGCTGCCGGATCTTCGTCACTCTCGGCAACTTCTCCAAAGGCGGTCCCTCTCCGACCCCACATCTGGCCCGAAGTTATCCTTCTCGTCCTGACTTTCCTTGATTCCAACAAGCTATGCGCCGCTGAGGTGGAAAGGCGCCGCGGTGGCAAGCTGGACGTGATGATCAACCACGCCGACGCTGACTAGGTCATGCCCTTGGTGGACGTGTATATCGATGTGACAAGGGCAGTATTCTGGGCTTGGAACAGTAGTTTAATTCAGCTGATAAACTACTTTGGTCTCGAAGGCCTTGTTGATCCTTTCAACCTCCATGAGAAGGTCGAGCCTTAAGGCCTTCTTATACCAAAGAAGGTTGGTACGTACCGAGCCCTGTGTGCCAGGCATCGGCGCGAGTCTATCTAGTTCCTCTGCCTACAAGTAGATCTTCTGACTGCCAACCTTCATCCAGTTGCCCGTCGGTAATTCCGGTCGGTGGTTTAATTGATGAAAGTCGCCGACGGATGTCCGTGTGGCATTCTGTCGGTAATTCTGGTCGGCAGTTTGACTGGTGAATGTCACCGGCAAATGTCCGTGTGACAGCCGTGCCTGTTGGCCGAATAGTCTGGCTGAGGCAAGGCTGGCATTGTATGGCGATGTTGGGTTGATGACAAGCATTGAGGCTCTATTGAACTTCAAACCCAGGAGTGTGGGCAATGTCCGTGTGACAATCGATGATGCGAAGCGGTTCTATGATATGAACGTTTGGAGCGTGTTGGGGCTGGTGCAAGCTGTAGCACCGATGTTAATTAAGGCGAAGGGCGTGGTGGTGAACCATATTAGTGTTGCGAGTGTGATGCCGCTTGCCCGGGCTGGTGAGTCGTTGGTCATTTTTCCTCCATGGAGAGGCATGATATAAAAACTGAGATGATGGTTGTGATAAAGGCATCCACAGCAGTTCCAAAGCTGCGATGAACAGTTTATCTCCCACCCTCCGCTCCGAACCCCGCCTACTCGGGGTGCGTGTCAACATCGCTGTGATCGGTGTTGTTCACACGCCCATGATCGGTCATCCACTCCGAGATGAGCAATCTCGTCTTGCCGGGAGGTTTGTACTACCAGCAGCTGAGGTCTTCGGTCGGATTAGCGATACGAGGAAGGGGTTGGCGCAGCCGAGATCCATGGTCGTCAATGTGGTCGCCAGATCTACCATTTCGGATATTGAAAGCGGAAAGAACGGTGATCTGGCATGGTGGCACGTCATCTTTGACTAGGTGCTTGGGGTGGATGTTGCCGAATCGTATTTTGGAGAGGTTTTTGAACTGGGCGAGTCGTCTGAATTGTGTGAAGACTGAGAGGGAAAAGGCGCAACGGTTGATGGGCGGAGGGCTCATGCCTGGAGGTGGATGTTATTGCCTCTGTTTCCCCAGCTCTTCCCTTTTGTTGTCGCCGGTACCTGCTTTAATCACAGTAGAAAGAAATGACATGATCACACGATCAAATTCGCAACTTCAAACGTACCTGATTCGGATGTCTGGAGGAAAGTGCACTCGTATGCTGACCCGGGGCGGTCTCAGAAGTAGAGCTTGATCGCCTGAGCTTGGAAGTTCCTTCTCAAGCATTGCCAACTGGATGTTCGCTCTGCTGCCCCCAAGATTAGTACATACGTTCCTTCCCATTAAGATTCCCTACAGTCGGCGACGACCCAACATCTTCGACTTCATTCAATCACAAGCCAGAACTTTACCTGCTTGTCAGACATCCTCTTCCTTCCAGATTCGCTCACTCATCCTCAGATCGCCCGTCTTCCCTTTTCCTCTGCGTCCGTCGCCCTTCCCGCCACGAACACCAACCTAAGTTCGATCGTCATGTCATTTTCATCTGAGATGATGTGACCAAAAATTGGGCCCGGATCTACTCACCCAGCGAATGGGCACTGGGGATCCCGAGCGAGGCAAAGTAGTGCAGGCAACCTGAACCAAGCTGGAGCAGCCAACTGGATTCAGTTTGGCTACCGCGTGAGATTCTGGAGCTTCTCGCAATCGGAATTGTCCTAATCACGGCTTTTTTTCGTTATGCTTCTCTGCCTGAGGGTGGGAACATGAGGAAGAGAATGGGTTGCACTTAGCTGTGGTTTCCATGTCGGCTTAGCGGGAGTTGGGACGTGAGGAATGATGGTCGCTGAGGTTTTGAGTTCGTGATCTTGGGAGTTGGTCTTGCTTGAGTAGTGTCTCTGCTTGCTCTATCTTGGTGACGGGCGCTGTCGGTCATCTCCGGAACCCGGTAGTTTTGGACGGACAGTGAGGACGGGAGGTTTGCCGCTATGCCGAGGTTCAAAAACTCCCGTGAGCGGAAGGAAGGGGTTGGACGCGAGTGGAGGATGCCAGGTCGTTAGTAGCAGCTAGCCATCTCTTTCGAAGACAGATGCTGTTCCCCCGAGTAGCTGACGGAATGCATGACGGCATGGAAATAAGCTCGTATGATCACGACATCCGCTCATTGACCGTACCTCCCTCGCCCGGCCTCTCTCCTGCTGTCTCCCGCAATCCGCAACCACCACGAAGGCCACTGTCTTCCAATACCATCGTCAACAACCTCCCGAGCCGTTCTTCCTTTCCTTCTTCTTTAGTTTGACCCGCCCAAATTTCCATTACTCGCACTCCTGCACAGACCGTCTCTTCAGGCTATTTAATCCTCCCCTCCCCCGTGATATTCTTGATTCTTTTCTTCTTCTCTTCTTCAGAATAGGAAGCCCGACTGTAGGAGGCTCACAAATCTTTCACAGTAGGCAACCATAAGGTTGCTTGCACCTCACGTAGAACACCAGGGCCAATTCCCTGGGTAAAGGGGTCCGGGCACAGTTTTTGGTACCATACCATCGGGTTTTACCTGGCTGTCTTTCACATCTCACACTTTTTTTTCATTGTGCTTCTCTGCCTTTGGGCGGGGACATGAGGAAGAAAACAGTGCACGGCGGATGATGATGAAGGGTGCGGGATGAATGAGAGACATGGAGATGTTTGGTAAAAAAAATTGGGGCGTTGGGGCGAGAGAAGGCAGAGAAGTGAATAGCACGCTGATGTTTGTGGGATGTGCAGGGAGGATGGTCAAAGGAAGAAGACACTTTGAGTTTGGGGTGGGGGTTTGAGGGTCTAAGTAGCTTTACTTGTGGATGTTTCTTGATTTCAGAGCACATGCATACCTCTAAGGACAGATTGGCATGTCTCTTCCTAGCATGATGCATGGTAGTGGGCGTCATCTTGCTTTGTCGCGGAGTCCGGTCGCTCGTCGGTCTTCAGAGTTCCGAGCGCAGAGATCCCTTTCCCCCCCCGGAAAGCTTCCATCGTACTGACTGTGTAGACTGCCCTTCCGCCCTTGTGATAATAGAAACTCGCTGTGAGCACAAAGGGGTAGTTGAGCTGCAATAGACGGGATCCGATTGGGCGCCGGTCTGTTGCATGTTGAATTAGATGTGGCACTATCAGTAGTACGCAGTTTGGCGCACGAAGTTTGTTAGTCAGATAGCATCCGCTTCCGTTGACCTCCTCCTGGGAAATTGCTTTCGGATGAAAAGCATCGTGAGGCATGAGCAGAATCGGTGTCGAACAAATAAAAAAATGAATTTGACCGGATCTTTCATGGTACAAGAAACACAACTTACAAGTATCGCAGTGCACTTTCGACGGTGAGCTGATGGGCACGACCTCACCATGATTTCGACCAACTTCTTGGCATTCGCGACGATGAAGTTCCGTCTCACAAAGGGTTAGGGTTAAAGATGCTTCTCTGACTTTTTCGCTCACACGAAAAACATCCCCCCCGCCGATCTTTCGTACCTGCATCACCGGTGGGCCGTCCCCAACTTCGCGAACACCCCGGACCCCAGACATCAACTTTCACTTTTAGCCCGATCCCATCAACAAACTTTATTTACACGCCGTGTCACCTCAAAGACTTTCACCAGCCCATCGGACCCGACTAATCACCAAAGAATATCCAGCAAGTGCAGCAACATGTCACAACAACCACCCACCGTCGTCTCTCCAGCAGACGAACACCAAAGGCAACCACGAAAAGAGGAACGAGGTCCCAAACCACCAAAACAAAAGAAACGAAACCCCATCACAGCCGCCGTCTACTCATGGCTCCGATTCCACTTCCAAGCCGTCTCCCTCAGCACCCTCTCTTCTTCTTCTTCAACAACCCCCGACCTCGAAAACATCCGAGATGATGACCAACTCAAAGCCCTCCTCACCTCCTCAGCGCCCAAGCGATGGGTAATCTACGAGCCCATGGTATTGCTCCCTAGCGGATCTTTCACCACCTCTCCGTGGCCTCAACTACTTGACTCCCTTTCTGCAGAAATCACATCTTCGTTGTGGGATAGGATTCTGACCAATATTACGAGAGAGGGGGCGTCCAAGGTGGAGTTGAGCAGGTTGGCTGTTAATGAGGGGATTCCTTTACACGAGGAAGAAGGGGAAGAAGAGAATTTGCTGCGGTCGCCGTCAGGACTGAAAATGTTGTACGGCGATTTCGGCCCTGCGCTGTCACCAACTGCGCTACCGACGCCGCAAGATTTTGACGAGGCGTTCTGGGTTTCAACCAAACAGAATGGGATCACCCAGATCTGGGCGCCAAGGTATACCATGTTCTCGAGGGGAAACGTGAAGGAGAAGGCCAGGCTTTTGGATTTTCACCGTCCCTCGCCCACAACCACTGGCGCAGCACCCGTCAACACCAACGCAGCATCACCACCGCAACAACAACAACAAAACCTGACCTACCGGGTAAAATTACCCGCCACCCTCAAAGACAAATACGCCCTAGACCTCTACGCCGGCATAGGATACTTCGTCTTCTCCTACACCAAGCTGGGGATGCGCGTGCTCTGCTGGGAGATTAACCCGTGGAGCGTAGAGGGACTTCGGCGCGGGGCTTTGGCAAACAAGTGGACTGTCAAAGTGTTCCAGGGTACAGACCTGACTGGGAAAACGACTGTCCAGCTGTTGAAGGAGGCAGATGCGGAGGGGGTGCAGATCGTGGTGTTTCTGGAGGGGAATGAAAGTGCGGGACGGAGGGTAAGGGAGCTCCGAGAAAAAGAGGGGAGGGAGTTGGATGTGATGCATGTTAATGGTGGCTTTTTGCCTAGCAGCGAGAAGAGCTGGAAGGATTCATGGGAGGCGGTGGTAGGGAAGGGTAAGGGGAAGGGCGAGGAGGCAGAGGGGTGGTTGCATTTACATGAGAATGTGCATGTGAAGGATATTCAATCGCGCAGGGAAAAGATCCAGGGGATTATGGATGGGTGGAATGCTGAGTTGGATGATGGCAATGAAGAAGGGACAGAGACAAAGGCGGCGGTGGAGCATGTAGAGCTCGTCAAGACGTTTGCGCCAGATGTGTGGCATTGCGTCTTTGATGTATACATTACAAGGTGTTCTACCTCAAGTAGTAGTGGTAGTGGTAGTCGTCCAACATGACCGGGCCGGTCCGATTTCGTCGTCGTAACCCTTCGCCAAGGGGCGCGCGCGGGTTGGCAATTCATTAGTTTATACATATGTGTGTGGAAAGTCTCGTTCCGAATCATTCATCCATCCGTGTCTAATATCCAGTCCTGATCCTCTTCATATACGCCGGGAAAAATCAAATGTGTACGCAGATCAAGCAAGTAGTTCTAGGGGGCAACACTGCCTTTACCCACTCCTTCGGAACTTGGCGGGGATGTTTTCCTCGATAATCGAGAGTCGGTCCATCTGGGCCAACCGCTCCTCTTCGAGCTCCATCTCCTCGTGCTTCTTGAAGTGTTCGATGTCTTCGGGGTGGGTAAGGTCTTCGAGCTTGGTGTTGTCGTCGTGGTACCTGCAGCAAAGCAAGCCTAGGGTTAGTCTCTGACATCATGTCTTGGCAACGAAGACGGGACGGCGGTTTTTTACGCCGGCCCCCTTTTTGCGGCTCAAGTCCAGAGGTAGAGAGAGGACAAACTCACTTCTCCCAGTGATGAATCTCATACTCGTACTCATCATCGCCGTGGTGTCCCGGCCCCGTGCCCATATCCGGAAGCGTCTTCTTCTCGACGTCGATGAAGCGCACGAACTCGTCCTTGGTGATGACGCCGTTGTTGTCGTAGTCCATCAGGTTGAGGATGTCGCGGACGATCTCGTCTCTCCTGGGCTGGGAGACGTGCTTGTTGGAATCGTCCATCAGGCCGTATGTGCGGAGAATCTCGAGGCCTTCCCATGTGCTATCGCCATCGAAGTCGTGCAGGGCGAAGAAGGAGGCGGCGTCGAAGTTCTCGATGTGGTGTTCCTCTGTAAAGCAAGGGATCGGTTAGCTGGCTGATGGGGCTGTGAGACATGGGCTGCCGGGAAAAACATACCAGCCATGTGCTTGACCATCCATGGGGCGTTCTCGTCGACAATGGGCTTTTGCGACCCGCTGCCGTGGTCGCCGTGGGCGAGGGCGGTCCCTGTCAAGCCGACGGCGGCGAGGATAATACTGGACGGGCGCATGGTTTCGGGAGGACGGACGGGTTTTCGAGGGTCGGAGGTTTTTGGACGGAAGTGCGATTGAATGCGCCGACGACAACGGTAGACTCGGACAAAGAGATGGATGTTTTGGTAAAGTTGGAAGATGCGATCAACCCCTTTTCGATCGATCGGTTTTGCGATTCGCGATTGCTCTTTTTTGGTTTGGCGATTGACCCCTGGATGGTTTTATCGCAACTTGATTGATCAATTGGACGTTTGCTCGTGGAGACGGTGACGGACTGGGTCTGGACTTGACCTGCCCGGCAGAAGGTGACGTGCCCGTTCTTCCAGAAGGTTTAGCGTGCCAAGACTCGTCAAGTCCATCGCCGACTCCATCCTTGGCGTCGCTTGTACACTACAAAATCTTCAAGACTGCTTGCTGGCCTTTATATGGGAGATGAGACCCATTATGTACAATGCCCTCCCATATTTTGACCCCAAATTCCAAACCGAATGTCCTTGCTTTCACCCAAAATCACTCAGGTACAGATGGATCTCCAACTTCCGCAATCTGGTATCTTACGAAAAGTCGATCGCCCTCTGTCGGCATTCGATAGGGTCACCTTAAATTCACTTGGACCGCAAAGCTTTTTCAACATCTATTACCACACGTTTCTCCTGCTGGTGGACGAAGTATAGCTACCCTATCAGTCGCTAACATGTATCAGCATGTATCACCCCTACATCTGTTACTGCCCCGCTAGTACACATTGGGGGCCGCTTGCAGGATAGACAACCTTCCTTCACCCTGCTTCTCCCCAGAACCGACGATTTGTACAAACAACGGGCGGGATGTATCGATCACTTTCCAATCAGAGCATCGGAACCAATACGAAAATCCGCATGATCGGGCCTTTTCCCACGCTTTGCGCTCAGGGCCACTCGCCTATGCATTCCTTCTTGACACTCCCGCTCGCTTTCCGAGCTTGGCGCGCTCAGTCCTCGGACGCGGACAAACACCAGTGATACCATCCCATACCAGATTTGTACATTCGGGCACATTTGACGATTCAGCCGGAATTGTATCCAACTCCAAACACTCTAACGATAGGCGCCCGGTCTTGTTCCACATGCCGCTCGGCCATCAAAACCCCCTCAACTTCGCCGAGGTTTGCTGCGCTGACCCTCTCTAAGCCTTGCTGGGACTTGGTATTGACTCTCGCTTATTCGCTTGCTTTGTCCCTAAACGATCTATCTGGTTCGCTTACCATTCCTTTTTCAGAACGACACGCATCAACACCAGACCAACTGCTTGAGCGTCTTCTCTTAATCACGAGGACCCTTCCTCTCGTCTTTCTGATTTTCCCTCTTTCTCTTGGTTTCTCCCTTCATCACCTCTTCACAATTACAGCTCCAATCTTCCTCTGCTTCTCAAGTGAGAAAGAAGTCCGTGTCAAGTTGTCACCGGTTCCCTTCAACCTCGCCGATGTATTACGTACATTATACCCCGTTTTGATCCATTTTCCATCAACAGGTGTGTAGCCACCTTCCTCTCCCAGGCACTATAAACGGCATAGTGATGAGGAGCTGAGCGGTTAGGACTCGACCCCAGCTGTTTACATCTCTTGGTATCGGAGTGTTGGGGGGATAGCTACCTTGGTCCCGTCCAGCATGAACCCTCGGTCCCGAGCCTACCAAAGTCACTCCCGGATACCACACTCAATACCAACATAAAACAACCCCTCTGCACACCTGCTTTCATATTCAGTTCTTCGCCATAAGGAACTAACTTCAAGTGAAGTGACCAACGGCTGACCGCGATGATGCAGTCCATAATATTCTGGCCACCCCACGAGCAGTTCACACTCGGGAAGAAACATCGGAGCCTCACAACCCTCTGCCAAAGAACAAAAGGCATCTCCTGCGCCAAAGCTTGCAGTACTTCTCATCTGCATCCGCAAAATTACGTTCTGCGGAATCACACGGAAGCAAGCGTCTCGACTGTCTGAGTGCAGCTAATGCACCCCAATGCAAAGGTTACCACACTCCGCGGCACCCCAAAATCGGCAGAGGCAGCTAGCATGTGAAGCATGTGAAGACATGTACGGAAGGTAAGTCTACCGTTGCCTCCCATTATCTTCATTGAAAAGTTGATTCTAAAGATCCATACAGAACGCCAGACCAGAAACGCTAGCACTAGAAGGGTTTTGATATCTTTCGGGTACTCCCATATTTCGCATCACCATGTCATCAGCAGTTCTTTCTCATCGGTTCGATGTTTTCATCCGTTTTTCCCAGTCTTTCAAGTCACTATTTCACGCCGTTTTCAGGCCTGGTCTCCGTCCGGGCTGTCTTATTTTCCGACCTCTCTGGCGCCATTCAGTTTCATACATTCCCATCCTTGCAGTCGCACAAGTACCGATTTGATCAGCACCGCCGCCCCCCATCATTTCCTTCCTTGGAGCGAGAGCCAGAAGAGCCCGGCAGTTGGTACCGGGAAAAGGCGAAACCAACAAGCAGAGTATCCGACCAGAATGACAAGAAAAAATGGAGGCTACCTTGCTCCGTTGTCTTAATCAGCTATCGATCCCCGAGTTATGAAACCGCCATGCATATCAATTAGCCCGAGCGCTGGACACGACACCGAATATCCATGATCACAACGACCTACAATTTGGGACGACATCGGAGCAGTCGCCGCGGCAACGAGGTTGACAAGAGACGGGGTGTCGACAAAGGAGGATATTGACGAGGAACGGAACAGCAGGGACACCTAACAAGAGGGGCGGGAAACAACGACGATGATGACAAAGGCGAATTGGGACGACAGCGAAGACGACAACATCACCCATGATGCGGGCACAACGACAACGGGCAAAGATGACAGCAGATCAAAAAGAAGAGTCGAGGAAACAGTCGGGTAGACAAGGGTGTCAGGCAAGGGCAACAGATGGGAGTCGGGGACGAGATTCAATGGCATGCGCACCAGGGACAGCGACAGCAATGCGCGACACAATACCCGACTCCGATAACATCGCCTTTGACCAACCGCCCAGTGACTGCACTCTCGGACAATTCGATACTACCTGCCCGAAACCCGAATCGAACTTCCCGAGCACCCAGCTGCACCGGCGAACACAACCCTCCTTATGGTTGCCAATCATGCACGCAATTGACAATTTCGACCGAAACGATCAGATACCCGCCGACGATCACGCATTTTAAACCAACGCGTCCCATCCGAAAGACTGCTTATCTAGTCCTACCACGATTCAAGTCAGTCTATGACTCTCATACCCGCGAATACACGACTACCGAATCAAATCGTTCGCATCACGATCACCACACACGGTCACCAATACCACCACCACCACTCCTTTACCCAGCAAATCAAACCCACATTGACCGACCCACCCATATAACCTGACTTCAAGAGCGAAAT